TCTTACACATTTAGGAGTAAAGTTAACTTTGGTTCAGTTTAACACTTGAGATAAAGATAATTAACTTTAAATGTTTAGTTAAGTTAAGTAATAGCAAAGGTAATTCTACTAATTAATTTATATTAATATATTATATTATAATAATGTAAGGACTGATAATCAGTGGCTTAGTGGCTATCAGTCTTACCAGTTTTCTTATATAGGCTCTACATATCAGTCTGTAGTTATTTATAAGTAATTTAATTATTATTCTTAGTAAAGTAGTGAGTAAGTAATTAGTAGTAGTCTTGTAGTTAGTTATTACTATCACAACCATGAATCACATGCATTCATATCATCATATCTCTAAGATACTGATACTCATTAATTTAATTAACTATTTAACTAACTATTTAACTAACTAGGTAGTCTCAGTTTGTCACTAATTTTAACAATAAAATTGCCTAGCCTAGCCCACTAACCACTTATAGAATAAAAGTTAAAAACTCTTACTTAATAAAATTAGAATAGAAGTTATAAAATATTAGTCTTGTCTTGAATAAAGTATTTTAAAGAATTAAATAAAATTAAATCAATCACTTCTGTTATTTTTTTGACTTTTCTAAAAGTAGGATCTCAAGAAACAAATGGTATTGATGGTGTTGTCTCCCAACCTACTTCTTAATGAACTGCATATATATCCCGCCCTATATAAGGCCTTTTCTGCCTCTACGCTAGTTGGTTTCAGTGTCATCAAATAATGATAAATCAAAGATAAGTTTTCACCTCTGACTCCCTCACTTTCATAAACAGCCATTTCCTTTTTTAATAACTTATCATAATCCTTCTCAGTACTAGTTTCTTTCCGTTTCATGAAGTTTTCTTTCTCACGCTTTAGTTGGATCTCTAATTCTTGTTCCAATGTGAAATTCAGGAAATCCGGGTTATCTGGATCATCGTTTTCCACCTCCGTAATATCCTCTGCCATTGCTGCTGGTTCCACTACATATGTATTTACACGATTCAGCATATTTTTCATCTCCTGGCGCATTACATTTTTTTCGGCATGTGAAAGATAAAGCTTTCTAACTTTTTGGTCATACTTCTTTGGGTTCTGTATGTAAATCAGCATTCCTGTGACCTCGATAAGACGCCATTTTCTGAGTCTTTTGTGGAGTGCCTCGGAAAGCTCGGCACTCAAGATTGTGTCCTGGCTTTTTAGTTTGTCTAAGATAAATTTCAGGGTTGTGTCAGCAGTTATCAAACTCGACTCTCTTCTACAGAGCTTTTACGGCCACTTTATAAGTTAGGTTTCGTAAACAAGCCGCGAGGCTGCAGCTCTCCTTAGGCTTAAACAGATCGTTCCGTCATGTGATTCACTGACGTCACAACCGACTGTAAACGAATTATGCACCAGGACTAGGAGAGGAGTTACTTATTTTATTTAGCGCGAAGACACTTTATTTAGTGAAAGCGGAAAGTCAACTGGCAATTAGATCAGCAGAGGTAAAAGGGCAGGCAGTGTGGTGTAGAGAGGGGGTGTAGCACGTGCCACACTGAGCGGCAACGTCTCTTTCGCCGCCGAGCGATAGCGCACGTAGAAACGCGGCAACACCGACAACGTAGACTTTTGCGTTACTATTTAGAAAGTTAATTGAGTATTTGCGGATCCGCAGCGCTGGATCCAGCACCTGATGCTGGATCCAGAAGGCCGAAGAATGAGCTGGATCCAGCTGGATTGCTGGATGAGGGATCCAGCAATTGCAATCTCTAGCACTGACATACATTTGGAGCTATTGCCAGGACGCTTCGGAAGACACTAGAGCCAAATAGTTGAGATTAATAGTTTGGCCAAAACCTTGGTATCTCATATTTGGCATCTTTACCCTATCAGTAGCGTGCTGCCCGTGAAAGCTGTAGAAATGCCATTTCCCTTGTATTTTCAAAAATAAAAATAATTTAAATATTTATATTTTATTATTATTATATTTATAATTGTATTTATATAAATGCAAAAATGTCAAAAGTCAATAGATTATTTCAAAGGTTTAAGAAGTAATGGACCGAATATAATATAAAAGCTGATTAGAGATTTCATGCTGTTTGAGTAACAAAGGCTTAAGAAACCACTTAAACTGGGCGAGCCGATTTCCTGAAATTTAGTGAAAAACGCAGGGGGTGGTATAGTGAATAGCGAGACAGGTGTCAGTTTGAATTTGTTATCCTTTCAGTCCAGTCCTTTGATCGTTACTCGCGGTAAGTACGTGTGGTTTTAACATTTTATACACAGAAATGTTTACATAAACTTTATAAGCGAACTTATGTATGTAATGTAATTATATACCACGCAATTTTCATTTTTTCTTTTGTATCTAAATTTTAATAATTTTAACGATAAGTACAGATAAGTTGCGTATATTCAGCTATATGAAAAGACAATTTAGACAAACATATTTTGCTAACACATTTTAAAGAATTGAATTTTACTAGAAACGTACGTAGCTAAAGTATTTTCTCTATAAAGATTCATTTCTAGAATCGCACAAGTTAATAATTCTAACGATAAGTACAGATAAGTTGCGTTTATTCAGCTATATGGGAAGACAATTTAGACAAACATATTTTGCTAACACATTTTAAAGTATTGAGTTTTATTAGAAACGTACGTAGCTAAAGTATTTTCTCTAAAAAGATTCATTTCTAGAATCGCACAAGTAAATAATTATTTAAATAACTATCGAAAATTTACAATTAATATCATATTATTATAAGAATTTACTTTCCCAAGTGTTCAGATCATTTTTGTGTCTTTGACATTTTTATTGTTTTTACTTTAATTTAGAAACAATTATTAAAATTTCATTGTCTGAACACTAATTTTTCTACTGAAGTGTATATAAACAAACACATACTAATTATATTTTTATCTGTAATATAAACCTGATTCACTTTATTTGAAATTAGTAGAGTTTCTAAAATAATTTCTTTTGTTCGCTTTTGCAGAGATATCAGAATATGGGAAAATATCAATATAAGCTTTGTCAGAAGTTTTCTTCATCTTTAACTCCACCAGCTGTCACGAGAGGAGTCATGAAAACGAAAAAAGCAATAAAGTGCGATTATTGCTGGAAAAGATTTATACAGCAAAATTTTATATATCATTACAAGCAAGAATTTCATCCAACAAAAGAAAAACAGTTTTCGTCTCAGGTACATGAAAGTGTATCATATTTTAATCACTTGATATAGTTTATAAATATATTATGGTTTACAACAGTAACATATACAACGGTTTACGTGTAGAAAGTTTTCTAATTGTAAATGTGTTTATTCGTAACAATNTATAATTATGTGCTTTCGCTCCACGCTCGAGGTACGTTCGAGAAAGTCGCATAGAGTTACATAACAAATGATCTATTGAACTTTAAAAATTTTTTTTTTTTAAACTTTAACACTTATTGATTTTCGGATGTTTTTTTAAGTCTGTAAATTTTTTCAAAAATTTTAATCCGCGCGAAAAAATTTTATCACTATTTTAATAAATTTGTAATGACGCACGATTAACGCTTGATTGTTTTTTTCGGATTTTTTAAATGAAATTTCATTCAACTTTTTAAAGTTCCGGTGCACTAATTTTACTTCTGTAAAGTTATTTGAAGCTACTTTCTGGTATCAACAACGACTTAAGTATCTAAATTTTTTCAAAGATTTTTTCACATGCGAAAACATTTTATCGCGATTTTAATCTACCTTTAATGACGCACGATTAACGCTTGATTGTTTTTTGCGGATTTTTTAAATCAAATTTCATTCAGCCTTTTAAAGTTTTAGTGCACTAATTTTACTACTGTAAAGTTATTTGAAGCTACTTTCTGGTATAAAAAACGACTTACAATAGATTTTTAGTTAATAGATTTTATTATATATACGTTTAATTAAGTCTGGGGTCAAAAATTGCAATAAAACACGTAATTTTCGAAAACTGTTTAGAAATATACAGCCAGCTACTATTCAATCTTCTTTAGATTTTTTCCCTACCGAGACTTTGATGAAAATGTATTTCCCGAAATAAGTGGGAAGACCCCATTCGTCGTCTCTGTGATTAAAACGATTAATTGTTATGTAAATGGAGCTCTGTCAGAAAATCATTGCCACTAATTGTGTGATATTCGGTTTAACACTAATGAAAAATACCTAAATTTAGAAAGTTCGTGATCTGACCTTACTGATAAAGTGGCTGCAAATGATGCAAAACTCAGAAAATGCTTGAAATAAATCGCTTTTAATCGCACATACAAAAAATTAAATCGCTGGCAACAAATTGTCGGAGTTTTATTGTCGTGTCGCCACGAAATTTAATGTAAAACGTGTGAAACTTTCAGCAAATTTCCTGATTTTTTCGTTTTTCTGTCGCTGAAAATGCCGGATTTTCGTGGATCATTCCATGCATATACAGTCGTGTTAACAGTAATATGAATTCAAAAATTTAATATTCTCGTGTATGTATAAAAGCGGATAAAAATTTCGATTGTGTGATGATTCCTCGAATAAAAAAAAATACATTCGAAGTGTAGTAACCTTTTATCTATCAATCTTTTAATTACTAAATTCAACTTTTGTTAAAGTTTGATTACTCTATTATGTATCAGGTGAGGTTAAAACAGAACGTCCAATAGGTCACATACAAGTTATCTATAGTATAAAGGAGTAGAGAAGACAGCATAATGAGTTGCTTAATTAATGAATTAACTTTTCTTGCAACATTTGTTGGTGCCATGTATTAAAGCATTTATATATTTTTAGTTATTATATAATTTTGAGGGTAGCGATAGGTTTTATAAATAAATTTAAATGTTAATAACGGGTAATATTGTCAATAACTCCGACCATACTCGATTATAACACATGATCTTTTTTACATTTGTAAGTGAAATATTTTAAAACCGATTAATATAACACGTGACGTATTTATCGAAATCGTAATACGTAACACATTGTTAAAAATATATTCTAACAATACCTATCGAATTGTTAGAATATATTGTTGCTTTTTCTATTGTAAGTAGACATTTTTAAGCGAAAATTTTTCCGAAAGTTTCGCTTTTCTCTTCGTTTTTCTCTGAGATATTCCGAGAGAATTGCGATTAGACCTAAATAAAATTCAGTAGTGTAAGTAAATTATTATATTCGATTTATAAAAAATTAAAATGAAATAACTCGGAAGAGAGTGCAAAATTGCAACATGTGTGAGATTTTTTAAAATTAATTTATCAGATAATAAATAAACTTTGATATCTATAGTGATACAGTGGTGCCTCGGATAACGTACTTAATCCGTTCCAGGAACACGTCAGTTAAGTGAAAAGTCCGTTATACGAAACGCATTTTTCCATAGAAATACATGTTAAAACATAATTTGTTCCGCAGTATAAAATAACCGTACTGTACCATTAAAAATTGAAAATGGAGCAGTCACCAATTATGCTGGGTAGTCAGATGTTGTGAGGAGATAGAGGAGCACTTTCTTTACACATTCATACAGATACAGACTTTTTACACATTGCAGCAGGTCTCTTTTTATTGTTTTTTAATCGGAGTCAGATTCAGGAAAGGCTACCAAAGCTTGCAGGGTCATCTCCTCTTGTTCCATCCTTTGTTTTTTTGGCAGCTTGCTTCTTGAAAAACATGTCCAAGGTGGTCTGTTTCTCTCTCTTCTTCAACATCTTTCTGAAATGACGGGCAAGAGTGTCATTGTAGAGATCATTGATCCTGTTGGCCTCAGCTCTGTTTGGATAATGAGTGTTGGTAAACTTTTGAACCTCTCCCCATTTGACAAAGAAGTTTTTGTCAACTTTCACTCCTTTTAATGATTTCTTACTTTGTTTCANTCCTGTTGGCCTCAGCTCTGTTTGGATAATGAGTGTTGGTAAACTTTTGAACCTCTCCCCATTTGACAAAGAAGTTTTTGTCAACTTTCACTCCTTTTAATGATTTCTTACTTTGTTTCAATTGAAATCACCTTTCTGTTTTTTTTTAAAAGCCATGATTTGCATAACATTCGAATAAATGTAAATACCCTGCACTGTGGTGATGTACTGTACGTAATGAACAGGGAAGCAAGCCGAATTCCAGCGGGAGCTCTGCACTTCAGATATACTAATAAATTATTCTAATAATACTAATATATTATAAAAATAGCAGCTTGTCATCGGCAAAAAAGTGAAAACATCATTCGCACTTGTTCGCAGAAAGTCCGTTGTTCGCAGCCAGTCCGTTGCTCGAGTCACGTAACGGCCAAACAAAAAGTCCGTTGTTCGCAGCGTCCGTTATTCGAAGCGTACGTTATACGAGGCACCACTGTATCTTCCTCCGAGCCGTGTCGAATAATTTTGGAACCCGAGGTAAACATCGTACTTAGAGACTGAATTTATTGTAAAACGTTAATTGAAAAATATCCTACAGGTTAATTCTGGCACTCCGAAAGTCGAAGCTCAGAACGAAGAAGGGACACGCCGACAGAAGACAAAGAGTTTTTTCTGTGTTTCGCTGTTAAATTTTGGTAGTTAAAAATTCAATTAGCCAAAATATTATCATGTCAAGTTCTAGTCAGACATGACAATCGACATGTCTGAAAAATAAAACACAAGAAATTAACAACTGGAAAGACCCAAACTATATTTAAACTCGTAAAGAGCAAACATGGTGTTTTTTTGTCTTAATTACTTTTATAATTAATTGAGAAAACCAGATCGAGCGTAAAATCGCTTATCTCAGCTTTATCAAGAAGAAAACAAAAAAAAACTAATACCTAGAAAAAATTCATTATTTCTATTTTTAATCTATTTCTGTAAACTAAATGTATATATTTAAACAACTTTTTAACAGTAATTGCCTGATTAAAGTGTTTAATTCTTGCAAATAAATGTTATATGCGCTAAATCCTATTTCTAGAAGCAAAAAATCGCAGATGATACGAGTTCAAAACTTACATTCTTTTCTGGCTACTCGTTATGCAAAACGTCGCTCGTTAACCGAGTCAATTTTTCACAATTTATTTTGCTCGTTATGTGAGGTGCTCGTTAAGCAAGATTCCACTGTATTAATTTTTGATCAGTGCNTAAATGTTTATATTTAAACAACTTTTTAACAGGAATAGCCTGATTAAAGTGTTTAAACCTTGCAAATAAATGTTATATGCGATAAATCTTATTTCTAGAAGCAAAAAATCGCAGATGATACGAGTGCGAAACTTACACCCTTTTTTCGCTACTCGTTATACAAAACGTCGCTCTTTTACCGAATCAATTTTTCACAATTTATTTTGCTCGTTATGTGAGGTGCTCGTTAAGCAAGATTACACTGTATTAATTAATAATAAATTTTTTTATATCATAGCACAAATCAAATTTATATAAAGTTTTTCTATTTCAATCGTTAAATAAAAAAATTAAAATTGTACATAACACTATTTATTTACACTCTGATTTATTAGTGAAAATTTTTAACTAACAAAAATATATTTAACATTAATTTCACTTTGATTTTTTAAATGGTATTCACACCATGTACAAAAATAGGACTATGAATAGAGGACAATTTTAACATTACAACTTCAGAACACGCGAAAATATATAATACTTAACAACTTACGAGTTCAAATTTATTATTTTCAAACTAAATTTACACTAATGTTGCTCTTTACAAATGACATTGAAATAATTACTGAGATCTTTCTCAGAGTACTCACCCCATTACAAACCATTCACTATAAAATTAAACTAAATGTTTTTTTTTAAATAAATAAACTAAATGTTAAAACATAATTTAGCCCATTTCAGAAGAATGTACAATGTTGCAACAAGATTTAGTTTGCTTTGAGATGAAAAATATTGCATTTTATTACTACGTTTTCATTCGTGCCATACAAAAACGATTCTTGCAAATTGTGTATCTACGGAACCTACTTCTACAGAATCGAAATTGTAGTTTTCGGGATTTATCATTTCACATTCGAGAAAATAGGAAAAATAAATATAGGCAACGAAAAGAAATACTGCTCTGAACGCATTTAGTATTTAGTTGATCTTCTAAATCGTATGAGCGTATCTTACAAAAAATCAATACAAATCATCTATTTTGCACCATTTTCGGTTTCAAATATTTTAGACTCTCTAGCTTTTCTTTGACAAGATTATAATCACATTGGTTTCTTTTTTTGATACATATAGAAACTGCCTGAATTCTCTCACCATAGAAAGCAATGCCTTTTCTTATATCGTTTAGGAGCGAGTAAGTAGTGTTTGCACCAGCCCGATTGTAATGGATCCTATAATTTTTAATTTTGATGACACACTTCAATTCATTTTCGGGTATCTTCATTAGCTGTAATAATGCGTACGGCATTTTCTCTCTTTCAGTTGTAAATATATCTTTGAGTGTATATGAAAAACGACGAATATTGAAGCCTGGAACTGAAGGAACCATGGCGATATTTATTTCAAGTTCGTCTTCTGTCGATCGATGCTTATTAAATGGTATTGTAATTGAAGCCATTTTTTGTAATTGAGTAAATAATTAAAAATTAACACTGTTTGACTTAGAAGCGATAGTTGTAAAAAATGCAACTACTTACTGCATATATTTCTATCTAAAAAGAAAACTGGATGGACTAATTCATCTGTAAGTACGTGTCTAGGACAACGTGGACATACACAATAATAAACGATACATGGTTCGGGTTGAACCATAAGTACTGAAAGTTATCACTATATCCGACGAAACAACGTACTTTTTCACAATCGTCTGCTAAGGTGTTCAGCATAGAAATTGATATTTTCTGTTAAAAAATGACAAATTAATCAGACAGAAGTCTTATCATTTATCTATTTGACCATACCAAACTACGGTATATTTATAACACCGAAAGTATGTTTATTGTTCAAATAGCTGAATAGTTTAAATGGAATAAAGAAAATAAACAGAGCAATTTTAATATGTATTTCTTTGTTAATATTAAATGTAAGTTGTTATTTTTCTATTTTGTGTGTCTTTTATAAATCCTTATTGCAGTCTGGTGAAGCCTGTGGACTTATCGGAATAAAATGTTTTTAATACAGTTAATATATTTAATATATTCATTTAATAACGCTTTGTTAAATTTATAAAATAATTTCATTAAATTACAAACATTATATATCCGATATTTAAACCAAATATAAATTTTTATTTTGATTTTAAAATTAATGCAGGTGGCGCATGATGACTTTACATGATAATTAAAGATGCTAAACACAAAGAGCCCTTTTTGTCTTTCGTCGGCATCTTCTGTCTTCACCCCAGTGGGCCTTAAATAAGCGGTACACAGAAAACCCTCTCTGCCTGTCGTACAATCCTCAAGTATACTTACATAATCACAATTTCTTCGGTAAATCTGAAAGAAAGGAAGAAAAAACGTGAAATTTTCCAATAAATTTACGCTTAAACCACTTACGATAGGAAAAGCCAACAACACATTCTAACAATTCGTGACGTATTGATGGAATATATTGTTAAGAACGCGTGACGCATTACGATCAATCATATTTTTACGTCACGTGTTACGTAATAACGTTAATCGGTTTGAAACATTTCAGGAAAGATTATTTTATAAAAATGTTTATTATAAACAAAATTATTTGAACTTTTTAAAGTTAAAATAATGCTTTTTCCAATGAATAAAATTTAAAAAATGTCAAACCATTCATTGATTCGAAAGTAATGTTATCTGTATTTTTGAAAATCTCAAGAGGAATTTGTAATGATTGTGGCTCTTTGCACACCAAGTGTTACCAAAATATCTTAATACACAAATTTTAGAAATTTTCGAAAAAAGTCACAGGCGTTAAGTTTCAAAGCGGGTGAAGAAAATCGTGCCTCTATACACAATAACATCCATCCATACATACAAAAAGAATGCCAGTTGTAGTTTATAAACGAAGTAAAAAATACTTATTCTGAAAAAAAACAATTATTTTAAGATTGTTAAGAATACGAAAGACGTGTGAATTACTTTGCTACTTACAATAAAAGCTATCAATTACTCGCTTCCATCGGAAATTCGAATCACATTTCAAACGAATTCTATCCTAGCAGTCAAATTTATATTTNCTTACAATAAAAGCTATCAATTACTCGCTTCCATCGGAAATTCGAATCACATTTGAAATGAATTCTATCCTACTCATCAAATTTATATTTTTCGGTTCTTTTCTCGTTTTAAAATGCGAATAATGTAGACAAATAATACACTTTAAACCGACTTAGTTACGAATTATTTATTTTTAATATTCGAATTGTGAAACTTCGGAAAGGGTTACCATTGCTATTTTATAAAACGTAATTTTTTCAACGATATCGCTCCACTCCCTACCCACTTGTCTGCACACGTTTAATTCGGTATCTTTTAGATATTTAAATATGTAAAAGACTACTTATTCCGGTAATTCTGTTACTAAGAGGGAGCATTGTTGAGTTATTGAAGACATTTCTGTTATTTCTTCCATCTTTATAATTACCTGGATAAAAAGAGAATTTATTAACTTTTGTTACTGTTTATCTTAACTTTTATAAGTCGTCAATTTTACATTTGTTCCGTACAGGATGTTTTACGCTTACGACCCTGAACCCCGAAGTGAAATAAATATACCCAACTACATAATAGCAAAAGAACAAATTTAACTTTGATGTATTGAATGGTGAATAATGCGTATCAATAAAGTATAAATAAAACATTTTGATCTTTATAGTAATATTTATTGAAAATACTAGCTAAAGCTTGCCCATTTTGTATAAACTGGGTATAATAATATAGTAAAAAACGAAAAATGACTAATTTATTCCTAACTGGGTGATAAATTACTTTACAAAAATATAAAATTCATCAATTTTTTACTTTATTTATAGAATTTTCATAGAAAAACATTAGTTTTGATCAAAATAAATGAACTATTTGTATAATTATGTGAAACNTGCTAGATATGTGGTCGATATAATGATCATATATAATAGTAAGTTAATATCACCAGATCAAATACTTGGATTAGCAAATAAGATAAATTCATATATTAAATTTAATAATCAAATTGAAAAATATAATAAATTAATCATATACATATTACAATTTAACGTTTGATAAGCATCTTGACTATATAGTAAGTACGAAAAGCCGTGTAATGCTAAAAAAAGTTATAAATTTTAAATCGTATTGACTATTAAATCAAACACGAAATATATATTTAACAGAAATTAGTGAGATTTTTTCCTGAACATCAAAACCTAATTTAAGAAAAAAAGAAGTGAAGAAAACAAATAATAAGTGTTTGTTAAATGGATACACAAGAAATCTGTTTAAAAAATAGCATGATGACTTGATGTTAAATCGATATAAAGTAAAACACGAAATTATGATGTACTTATCGTTTCCATATATTTAAGGTAGTGTTTCCATGGTCTCGTTTTTCTGCGAAATCTGACACTAATTAGTAATTGTGTTTACAGCCGAATGACTTTGAAAACAGCTGTTGTCGTTTTTCCGAGGACATTCTCATCAAAGTCTCATGAGGGGAAGGGTCTGAAGTAGATTGAATAGTAGTTGGCTGTATATTTCTAAACAGTTTTCAAAAATTACGTTTTTTATCGCAATTTCTGACCTCCCGACTTAATTAAACGTATATATAATAAAATCTATTAATTAAAAAACTATNGGTCTAAACTAGATTGAATAGTAGCTGTCTGTATACTTTTTAACAGTTTTCAAAAATTACGTTTTTTATTGCAATTTCTGATTCCCCGACTTAATTAAAGGTATATATAATAAAATCTATTAATTAAAAATTTATTGTAGGTCGTTGTTGATACCAGAAAGTAGCTTCAAATAACTTTACAGAAGTAAAATTTGTGCACTAGAACTTTAAAAGGTTAAATCGAATTCCAAATTAGTAATTACATTTTCTTAACTTTAAATCACAAGAAAATATTTTAAAATACACTTAATAATAACGAAAACTTCTGTAAGTACGAATTCGTCTTCATTGACGTCGTTTCCTGGTAATGTTATTTACTGCCTGAAATCCAATGTGTCGTTTTGTGAAAAGTCTATAAGAATTAAATTTTTAACATCTAACAACTGGTATGTCCTGAATTCAAATAAGCGCTTTTCAGTAGCCGAATGGATAACACCACCAAACTCTGGTAGTTAGTCGGGCAAACGGGCTTGAGTTTTTCGGATTTTTTTTCACGTTATAATAACTAAATAGAGTCCAGCTTCCCATTAAAGTCTTCCTGGAATGCATCTCCCTCAGCATATCGCTCACATGTTTTGTACCTTAACCAAATAAACCAAACTAATTCTAACGACTGATTATTTATTGTAACATCGTTACCAACCGGCTGCAACTTTTCTTCACAATGTTCTCAATTCCTTTAGTGGTGTGTTGATCCTGAACTTCACAGTTTTCCTGTTACCAATAGTGTCGTGCCTGTAATCTATCTAACTCCGTTCGAGAAAAAATTTTGAATTGATGTAACGTGACTTGATCCATGCGACAAATCATAAAAAATTCTTTTAAAACTTTTAAAATGGAGTCTTTTGTCAGCCCGAATATAAAGTTCAAACAATACAAGCCGAATCCACGATTTATTCTGTTTTTGAACAGCCCAATAAAGCAGTTAGCATTATTAACTAATTTTTCGTCCTCACCCCTTAAACAGAAAACGATTTTTTGTCAAATTGTTGTATACAGCGTCTACATAAGAACACTAAAAAGAAAAATTTCGCAGAGTTCAATTTCGTTTTCCAAGAAAACGAAACTGAGCACCGCGGTATATATTTTACTGTTACGGCTTGACAATACAATACAAATGTGCTGAAATGCTTGTAACGTTATGTCTAACGCAGTATAAATCCGCAAATTTGAAAGAGGATGTCCATGTCCAAAGTCAAAACTGACAAAAATATCAATTAACGTTTAAAATACGTGTGCGTGTTTTCAAAACTTATATTGTGATACTTGTGACCACATCGTGCATTTTAAATGCACGTCGTAAAGATCAGAATCGTAAGTATTTGTCATAGAGATCAATGAACATTGACAGTAATCAATTAACACTCGATTGACGTGTAGTGCACGACCAGTTTCTGACCGGAAGACGGAACATAGATTTAATATGGCAAATTTTTACCTCGAATACTTTAGCCCATATGAAGCCTTTCAAAATTCAGACTCTGTTACGACATTGGCCTTATACATGTGCAAAAAACCTTGCTTGATGGCCGTGCAGTTGCTTAAACTCCAATCTCAAATAAAACACTTTCCGACTTTCGTGTAAAAAAATATTGTGACAGTAGAAAAATACATCTTCGATAAAGTCCATTAACGGTAAACAAATGAATTGCAGATCGTAATACTTAAGTCGTAAAAAACAGTTTATAACCACAAAAATTTCATTGGATATGAACTTAAAAACATTGAAGGACTATAAATTCCCGCTGTCGTCTGTCTGTCTCTCCTTCCGAAATCTCGAGAACAGTATTAGAGTTATGAAAAAGCAGAAGAGATGTGGTAAGAGTTAGGGGAAGAGGCCCGATTAACTGCATACGATATTCCGGTATTAATCGGACATCATGTTATTTCAATTCAAATATTAGATAGATGACTGGCATGACTCTGTTGCTAGCAGGAAAAGTGTGATGTATAGAAGCACTAATTTGAGGTGAAGAGCATATATTTTAAAGTAAAATAAATTTAAAAAATATGATTAATAATTGCAATCCGGCCGGCATATTGCATTCACTGAGACTTAATTAGTTCTGATAAGTGAGCCTTTTTTTATTATATCAAATTTATGATTATATGAACAATTTGCTAGAAAACCAATTGAATCTGGTCGTCCATAAGGCATTTTTATTCTTGCAGTTTTAAATGAATTAGGTTCTTCGGAATAGATGATAATTATTATCGATTCCGACTTTTAAAATTATAATTTTACAACTTCTGTTTTGGCTCTTCTGTTTATAAATGTTCAAAGGGTGAAATATTTTATCATAGACATAGTGAAGCATGATCGACAAATGCATACGTAGATATATATTTAACCTATTACAATGTTTAACTTTACAATGCATTTTAAACAAGATTCATTTTCATTTTTTACTATATTTTGTACATACAAATACTTTATTATTTGTTTTATTTCGACTTAATTTCTTAACATAACTTAATATAATAAACATAACACAATATAACTAAAACAAAAATTTTTTTCATTTTTTTCATTCGTTATTTCAACGAATCTTGATAATTTGGTCTATTTAGAATCGATTTCTTCAAAAATTCTAATATTTTCATTGTTTCATTAAACAATGCAATGTTAATAATAATATTTTAACAATAATCACAAAATTTGTCGTTGTATCAAACCAGAAATTCTCACAATTCAAGCGAATGGTAAGTGTCATTACTGAAATTCTTACGACTAGAGAAAACGTTTCGTATTCTTGAATTATGTTTCTTCGAATAATGGGAAATAGAAAATTTCACAAAAATTCATAAACCTAAACAATTTCTAACGATTTGGATTTTCTAACATAAAAATATAAATATGTGTAATTATATTGATGTGTATGTTTATAAGCAGATTGATTCAAGTGACAAAAACGTCAACATTAAATGCAGAGTGTGCGAAAATGAATTTCCAAACGAAGTGCGGTTCGATGAACATCTCAAAGGGAATCCGAAATGCGAAAAATTGACTTGCGACGTGTGTCGGAAACAATCTAATTCGATCTCTCATTTCAATACTCACAAGTTAATACATTCGAATGAAAAGACATTTAAATGCGAGGAATGTGACTATTCGACCAGATATAGATCACATTTGAAAAGACACAAGAATAAACACTCAAAAAAAGAACTTTTTAAATGTAGCTATTGTAATTATTCAACCGTATGGAAAGACTGTTTAGACAAACATATTTTGCTAACACATTCTAAAGAACCGAATTTTACTGGCAACGTACGAATCTAAAGTATTTTTTCTAAGGACATTTATATCTAGAATTGCACAAATAAATAACTGTTAAAATAACTATCCAAAATTTCCAATTAATATCATACTACTATAACAATTTAAGTGTTCAGATCATTCTTGTGTGTTCGACATTTTTATTGCTTTTACTGTAATTTAGAAACAATCATTAAAATTTCATTGCTTGAACAATAATTTTTCTACTAATGTGTATATAAACAAATGCATACTAATTATATTTTTATCCGTTTTATAAACCTTTTTTCATTTTATGTGAAATTAGTAGAGTTTTTAAAGATAATTTCTTGGGTTAGCTTCCATCGAGATATCAGAATTTGGAAAAATATCGATGCAAGCTTTGCCCGAAAATTTGTTCAACTCCAGCTGAGTTAAAACGTCACGATTAAGGTCATAGTAAAGAAAAACCATTCCAGTGTGATTATTGCTTTAAAAGATTTACACGACGAGATAATTTAAATCAACACAAGCGAATCTTTCACTCAACAGAAAAAAAACAATCTTTGTCTCAGGTAAATAAAAGTATATATAAATAAGAAGTATATCATATTTTCATCATTTGATAAATAATAAGTAGAAAAAATATATATTTCCTTTAGGACTATACATATAATTGAATCCATCTTCATTTGTCCTTTCACACGCTTGGCAGAGGCAATAACAAATTTACGGCGATATCGACCTTTCATTTGAGTCTACATGTTCGCCGTCTAATGTAAATGAGTTAAAAAGTCCTTTAGCAGTGGCCAGTACTATTATTAAGTAAATAAATACATTAAAAATATTACATTTACATTAGACGGCGAACATGTAGCCTCAAATAAAAGGTCGGTATCGCCGTAAATTTGTTATTGCCTCTGCCAAGCGTGTGAAAGGACAAATGAAGATGGACTCAATTGTATGTATAGTCCTAAAGGAAACATATTTTTTCTACTTGTCAATTCGTCCTAGCAAATTTATTTTTAATGATAAATAATAGTTTATAGCTATGCTATGGTTTACGACCGTAACATATACAGTAGACCCCCCTATAACGCTTAGATACGTTCCACGTTATTCGAATTTTACCTTATAGGAATCATTAAATACATGAGCCAATCGCAGCCCGACACGTGTGAAGTTTACGGACTAAGGCTGTTTTTAAGGTTTTCTTCCATAAAATTAACCGATTCTAGACTAATTCCACCCAACATTTCCAAAACACGTATACTTTTTTGGGAATAATCCGTATAAACTATGCTTTAAACAAAAAATTGTAGGATTACATACCGAGTGTGCACCGTTCGACAACGCCGTTGCTCAAGCTTGTTTTCGTCGCGGAACAGCGCACGAAACGGCGGTTGCGATTTCTGATAACGAATTTTTCGCAGAAAAATAACTTGACCTTTGGAGACATCATTAATCTAAATAATTTTCATGGCCGTTGAATAAGAAATGTTTATTTCACAAGAAATGTATAAGATTACAGTACTGTATTAGACTTACGATACTTAATTTACATACTGTACAGACAATAATAAACTCAACTTACTAGACTAAACTCTCCGTAGCGTAGCGCTAGATGGCGAAAATTATATATATAATTATAATAAAGTTACAATAAATTAAGTTAATATATAATTATATATACAGTACCTAATTTATATATAATTTATATATAATGCTGTACAGACGATAGCAAACTCAATTTAGCAGCCTAAACTCTCCATAGCGTGGCGCTGGGCGGCGGAAAGTAGTTCGGCTGCTCGCCCACTATTGGTCTAGATTCGACCAATTTTGTCGCGACAGGAGTCGGCAACGACGTTTTACGAGTCACTTTATACGAATACTGCTACAATTTTTTCGCTACGTTACAGGAATTTCCGTTATAGGAACCCACGTTACAGGGGGGGGGTCGACTGTACAAGGGTTTACATGTAGAAAGTTATCTTATTGTAGATGTGTTTTTTTCGTAACAATCTCTTTCGAATATATTCTATATAATATTCTAATGCTGGACATTAATATTCATTTTTACAATATTAAACTGATTTGTCATATTTTCACTTACTTCTGAATATTATGTAGTAGTTAAGATCCATACAGCTATTTAATTGTTTTTTATTAAGTAGCTTTTATCATGTGATTGCAATTTTTGTTTATTGGTTGAGATTGTCTTTATTTCAAAAATATTTATTTTCTTTTATAATTATATGAATAAACCTACTCACGTGATAAGACCGTGTGTATCATTGTTATGATAAAATTCTGCTGTTAACACTTAATTTAATATAAAAAGTAACACAGAAGAGTGATGATTAACAATATTTCTCAACTGTTTAGCAAATTGAAAAAGAAGGCGTGTCAATGACTTTTAAAGTCTCTGAACAGACTGATGGGCACCCTTCTTGTGACATGTCGGCTTCAGAATCAATGCAAGGAAAGCATCTTAACAGAAACGAAAAAGATATAACTTCGAAATCTTCAGAACCATTATGGCAATGTCTTCAATGTCACTTCACTACAAACTCCAAGGAAGATTGGTTTCTACATAAACAGACACATAATGATGAAGCCCATTCCTCATCAATGGTATTTACTTATTTATTTGGTTGAACGTTGAAAAATATAAATATTTAATTAAGTTATGTTGGATGTTACAGTATTTGATTTAGCTCTGTATTCATAACTATTTAAAATCAGAGATCTTCGTTAAAAGTAAATTTTATATAAATACATACTTGAATGAGGAAAGAGAATTTATTGCTCGTATATTCGAATTTTTCACAATTTTATGAAAAATCATCGAAGACAGTAAATTGCCATACAGTTATTAATGAATATTCATCGTTGCAGGAACAGGAAGAAACAGATTCAGAAGTGTTGAGAACAGCCGAAATTCTCGTCGAAATTAGAGAAAAAAGATTGCAGACGATAAAAGATGAAAAGAAATGTCCTGATCCTGATACACGGTCAAGTTCACAATAACTTGCAAATATATATTATTGGCTGTTATCTAATCCCTGCTTTTTTAATTAAAATTGCAAGATATTTATCAAACTGGAATACTTTCATGCGAAATTCTTACGATTGGCTTCTAAATTGTAATTTTTTAAGAATTAAACTTTTTAATGTCTACAAATATTTTTCGTGAGTGAAGACAATTTATTAAAGTATAAATTTTATCTTTATCGGAAATTTATTCAACATTAAAATACTTTTACCTATTAAAGAATATTTTTGATATTGATAATTTCTTTTACATATGGATACAATTTTTGTAATCACTCAGGATATATTTCTTCATAATTGTAGGTCAGACTATTTATTTACAAAAATACCAAATTTTCGAGTCTATCTTAATCCCTTTAATCCACCACAGAAGTAACAGTTAACATGGGTGTTTTTTTTTTGAAGAATAGACTTCTTAAACAAAGGTAAAAACAATAAGTAAAAAAAGTTCACAATGTTAAAAACGATTAAGTATCAGCCTTCTGTTATAAATTCTGACACTTTACATTAAAAACACGAAGAATTCTTCTCACCACATTCTTCGTGTTTTTAATGTAAAATGTCAGAACCTATAACAGAAGGCTGACACTTGAACGTTTTTAACATTGTGAACTTTTTTACTTATTGTTTTTACCTTTGTTTAAAAAGTCTATTCTTCAAAAAAACACCCATGTTAACTGTTACTTCTGTGGTGGATTAAAGAGATTAAGATAGACTCGAAAATTTGGTATTTTTGTAAGTAGTCTGACCTTCAATTATGAATTTCTTATAGTTTAATTGGAATAATTTGCATATTATCTTATTAATCGTGCTTAATGATGCAATCTATAATATTCTTATGTCATTAAAACGTTAATACAATATATGTAAATTTCCTGAATATTTTATTGCTATTTAATGTTTAATTTATTTTATAATTTGTGTTTTACTATGAAAAAAGATACAAGCGTTAACGGACACATCGGTGATAAGTTTTAAGTAAACTAATTAATATCAAAGATTTAATAAATTTCATCTTGTCTTCACACCTATAACAAAAGAATGTGTACATGTTTCATGATGCTATCGATTAAAAATATAGCAAGATTGTAATTTTACAATTTTTCTGCTTGATGTCCATGAACGATAAAATTAATAACATTTCCACAATAGAAACAATATTCTGTCACTAGTTATTAATTTACGGTATTAATAACTAGTATGTATCAAAAACTAGTGACATTATACACTCGGCGGCCTGCCGGGGCTCTCCTCCAAGAGGTATCTGTCGGGAGTATGAACTGTCGAAACCGCCGCCATTGGGACTATCTAGTTAAGTAAACTTTATCCGTTTTTCTCATGTCGGAGATCTTCGGGTCTTTTAGGTTGTCGAATTGCATCGCTATTACGTTGTACTTTTGCGGTAAACCTTTAAGTAGTATGGAGCAGTGGCGTAGCGCAGTGGGGGCGGCACTTTTAGATAGCGGCAAAATTTCACAATAAATAATAATAATATCTTGTAAAAATTTAAACCATTTCATTTTATATATTTGTCGCACCTACGATTCGGACCGATTGAAATGAGCACGGAATTTTTCATTACTTATTCTGTGACAAAACTGAATTTTAGTCTTTTAAATTGAAATACGTAAATAAAGGAGCGGCGAAATTTTCCTCCGCTCCGGACGGCTGACACCCAAGCTACGCTACTGGTGTGGAGATGAATTCTTCTTTTTCTATTTGAGCTCCTATTATCCTAGCGCTCTCTAGAAGTTTTCCTCTTCTTAATTAATAGATAATCTTGCCATGTCTTGTCATTACTAATCTGGACACATTGTTTATGGTCTCTATCGTTTGTCTCTCTTAGGTCTCCTTCATATCTTTCTTTTAAGTGGATCCAAATTTGTTCTGTCATTCTACGTGTTAAGATAAGTGCCACTTTTGTGTCGTCCATCGCGCATGTTAAAATTCCTCTGGCCTGGGAGTCCGATTTTCCATTTTCCATTTTCGTAGATGAATCGTCTGTTAATAGATTTCCTAGATCTCTACTTTCTAAGATAGCCATTATACGGTACTTGCACCTTGTGAAATTATTACCTATAAACTTTGGTAGGCACGAATCAAGTTCCTAATGGGAATCAGCGACTCCCCGAATTGCAGGCCCCCTTGTGCGAACAAAAAAGTCAAAAGAACCATAACCCTACGCGTGACCCTTCACGAGATATAACCCTGTAAATATTTCTAAGTCATTTCTTGTAAGCGCGATAGAAAGTCGCGTCGCATTTTCTGCTAAGCCTATCGCGTGTTTAATTAAATTTAATATATGAATTTATCTTATTTGTTATCTAAGTATTTGATCTGGTGATATTAACTTACTATTATATATGATCATTATATCGACCACATATCTAGAAAAAAATTTATCCCTCTCAGACTTGATAGCGTTTTGTCCGTATATATCATAAATATTTCCACCAGTTTCAAGCTAACAACAAATTCCATTGAATACCAACACTTTGACGATAATATTTTTTATTAGCTTTATAATAAATTTTATCCAATGTGAAATCAATAAGGGTCAATACTTCCCAGGTGTTTTTGCATTGTAGTATTAATAATTGTCAAATTGATGTTAAATATACTAGCTGCAAGATCTCGCTCCGCTGGGTTTTTATTTGTATGTAATAGTATAGNAGAGAACTTCCTCAGAGTACTCACCTCATTACGAACTATTCACTATAAAATTAAACTAAATGTTAAAACATAATTTAGCCTATTTCAGAAGAATGTATCAATACAATGTTGCAACAAGATTTAGTTTGCTTTGAGAATGAAAATATTGCATTCTATTACTACGTTTTCATTCGTGCCATACAAAAACGATTCTTGCAAATTGTGTATCTACGGAACCTACTTCTACAGAATCGAAATTGTAGTTTTCGGGATTTATCATTACAAATTCGAGAAAATAGCAAAAATAAATATAGGCAACGAAAAGAATACTGCTCTGAACGCATTTAGTATTTTGTTGCTCTTCTAAATCGTATGAGCGTATCTTACAAAAAATCAATACAAATCATCTATTTTGCACCATTTTCGGTTTCAAATATTTTAGTCTCTCTAGCTTTTCTTTGAGAAGATTATAATCACATCGGTTTCTTTTTTTGATACATATAGAAACTGCCTGAATTCTCTCACCATAGAAAGCAAAGCCTTTTCTTATATCGTTTAGGAGCGAGTAAGTAGTGTTTGCACCAGCCCGATTGTAATGGATCCCATAATTTTTAATTTTGATGACACACTTCAATTCATTTTCGGGTATCTTCATTAGCTGTAATAATGCGTACGACATTTTCTTTCTTTCAGTTGTAAATATATCTTTGAGTGTATATGAAAAACGACGAATATTGAAGCCTGGAACTGAAGGAACCATTGCGATAATTGTTTCAATTTCGTCTTCTGTCGATCGGTGCTTATTAAATGGTAGTCGGGCATTTTCTGTAATTGAGTAAATAATTAAAAATGAATACTGTTTTTCATAGAAGCGATAGTTGTAAAAAATGCAACTACTTACTGCGTATATTTCTATCTAAGAGGGAAACCGGATTTACTAATTCATCTGTAAGTACGTGTCTAGGACAACGTGGACATACACAATAATAAACGATACATGGTTCGGGTTGAACCATAAGTACTGAAAGTTTTCACTATATCCGACGAAACAACGTACTTTTTCACAATTGTTTGCTAAGGTGTTCAGCATAGAAATCGATATTTTCTGTTAAAAAAAATGAAAAATTAATCAGACAAAAGTTTTTTCATTTATCTATTTGTCCACACCAAAGTACGGTATATTTATAACACCGAAAGTATGTTTATTGTTTAAATAGCTGAATAGTTTAAATCAGGGGTGTCCAACCTGCGGCCCAAGGCAAGTTCCAATGCGGCCCAATAAACGTGTAAACAAAACCGACAACTGTTTTAATTTTATTATTATTTATTTATTTCAACTGCATAAACTCAAAAGAGAAGTTTCACAAAGCCGTAAACCTTTATTCATATTTTTGTTTTGAGTAAAAAGGAAATATTTTCAAACCCTTGGAGATGTGTGAATGAGGAAAGATTACTAAATAAACCTGGAGTTGTGACTCAAAGGATTATAGACCAAAATATGGGAAAAGGAGGGAAAGGTGAAAAAGGACAATAGATAAAAAGTAGTGAGAAAGGATAAATAGATCTTCTATTATGCAAATATTGACCCTTAATTTTCCAACTGTTCTCACTTCTATATCTTTTGTCCTTTCTCTCCTTTCCCCTCATTTGGGTCTATAATTTTTTGAATCACAACTCCAGCTTTAATTAGTATTTCTTCCAACGTTGCAAGATTTGGCTATATTGCGNAAACGTGTAAACAAAACCGACAACTGTTTTAATTTTATTATTATTTATTTATTTCAACTGCATAAACTCAAAAGAGAAGTTTCACAAAGCCGTAAACCTTTATTCATATTTTTGTTTTGAGTAAAAAGGAAATATTTTCAAACCCTTGGAGATGTGTGAATGAGGAAAGATTACTAAATAAACCTGGAGTTGTGACTCAAAGGATTATAGACCAAAATATGGGAAAAGGAGGGAAAGGTGAAAAAGGACAATAGATAAAAAGTAGTGAGAAAGGATAAATAGATCTTCTATTATGCAAATATTGACCCTTAATTTTCCAACTGTTCTCACTTCTATATCTTTTGTCCTTTCTCTCCTTTCCCCTCATTTGGGTCTATAATTTTTTGAATCACAACTCCAGCTTTAATTAGTATTTCTTCCAACGTTGCAAGATTTGGCTATATTGCGCCAAATGTGACTACTTTTTTGTTTGACATAAAAAATATCATTTGGCGCTTTGGCTACTTTTTGGGCTACATATTATTTATAAATATATTACTTGAATAAAAATGTACTCCAGCTTTATTTAGTATTTCTTCCAACGTTGCAAGATTTGGCTACATTGCGCCAAATGTGACTACTTTTTTTGTTTGACGTAGAAATTATCATTTGGGCATTGGCTACTTCTTGGGCTATATATTATTTATAAATATGTTAGTTGAATAAAAATGCACTTTAAAATGGTGTTTTGTCGCTTTTTAT